TTCCAGTCTTCTCTTCTGATGTGTTTCACACTTGAACCTGTGTGGTGTGTAGGCTACTAAGATGAATGAGCACAGGGTATTTGTTTTTTTTTTTTTTTAATTAATTAATTAATTAATTTATTTTTTTATCACAACCATAGTGTATCTTTTTTTTTTTTTTTTTACATGTATTCCCCATCCCGGTCCCCCCTCCCACCTCCCTCTCCACCCAATCCCTCTGGGTCTTCCCAGTGCACCAGGCCCGAGCACTTGTCTCATGCACCCAACCTGGGCTGGTGAACTGTTTCACCCTAGATAATATACGTGTTTCAATGCTGTTCTCTTGAAACATCCCACCCTCGCCTTCTCCCAGAGTCCACAAGTCTGTTCTATACATAGGAGTCTCTTTTTCTGTTTTGCACATAGGGTTATCGTTACCATCTTTCTAAATTCCATATATATGTGTTAGTATACTGTAATGGTCTTTATCATTCTGGCTTACTTCGCTCTGTATAATGGGCTCCAGTTTCATCCATCTCATTAGAACTGATTCAAATGAATTCTTTTTAATGGCTGAGTAATATTCCATGGTGTATATGTACCACAGCTTCCTCATCCATTCGTCTGCTGATGGGCATCTAGGTTGCTTCCATGTCCTGGCTATTATAAACAGTGCTGCGATGAACATTGGGGGAGCACAGGGTATTTGAAGTGAATCTCTGATTTCCTAGTGATGTTACTCAAGGTAACCCAGCCCTGCGTAACCTCCCTTTCCTCATGAAAGGAGCTGAAAGTAGATATCTAGGGTGATGTTCTGATGGAGAAATTAAAGAGGTTCACCTTCAGTACATTTGATGGTACAAAAAAATGAGACACTGAGAGGTGAAGGATTGTTGTACTATTTTTGTTAGTTTTAAAGTAGGAGAGATCCGAACCTACTTGCAGGTAAAAGGAAGGCGATGATGCAGAGCAAGGCTGTAAGAAATGGATAAGCATAGGGGAGAGCCAGGGGAACAGAGATAAAAGGAGGGACGTAACTGATGTATGCTCTTCCTTTGTGATTTAAAATAACGAGGGCCTTTTGTAGACACTTGACCGAATTAAAGATTAAATGATATTGAAGTCATCCTTGAGTAAATGTTTTTAAAATTAACTGTATTTGCCTTTTAGGGAGCATTACATGCATGATAAGACACTTCAGTTGTCTCTTGACTCTGTGCGACCCTATGGAGCCCGCCAGACTCCTCTGTCCATGGGATTCTTGTCCATGGCAAGAATACTGGAGTGGGTTGCCATTACCTCCTCCAGGGGATCTTCCCAACTCAGAGATCGAACACGTGTCTCTTACATCTACTGCATTGCAGGCCGATTCTTTACCACGAGCTCCACCTGGGAAACCCTAGGGAGCATAAATGTGTTAAGATAATTACTGTAAATTGTTGGAATTAATGATATCCAGGCTCTGTGCTGGGGCTTCTCTGCTGGTTGGTAAAGAATCCACCTGCCAATGCAGGAGACACGGGTTTGATCCGTGGGTCAGGAAGATTCCCTGGAGAAGGGAATGGCAGCCCACTCCAGTATTTGTGCCTGGAGAAGTCCATGGACAGAGGAGCCTGGCGGGCTACAGTCCATGGGGTCTTAATGAGTTGGACATAACTGAGCAACTAACACATACAACTCTGTCCTAAGGGTGCTGTGTTCAGCCTCATAGTATTCATGTGAGGTCAGTATTTTTTGTTCCATTTTACAGATGAGAGGATTGAGGTGCAGGGAAATGATGGAACTTGCTGTGGTTACATGGGTAGTAGGTGGAGGATCTGGAATATGAGCAGCGGCAGTTTGACTTGGAAGCTGGAGTTCTTTGTCATTATGGTGTCTGCTTCCCAGTTTGGTTTCCTCAGTCAAGGGAGGTGGGAGGGGACATGGGTAAACCTATGGCTGATTGATGTTGATGTTTGATAAAAAGCAACACAGTACTATAAAGCAATTATCCTTCAATTAAAAATTAATTAATTAAAGAAAAAGAAAACCAATTCAGTTTCCTCAATTAACACTTGATACCAGCCCAAGTAATATTTCTGTCTGTTTTATACCAAGGAAGGAGGACTGTATCTCAGGAAGGTATTTCCAAAGAGGGCTAATACTTTAGACAAGGCCTTGTTTGGAGGAAAGGCTTATTAAGAAGAGTTGCTCCAAGTCCCTGACAGGCTGGAAGAGAGCAGCCCCTGGACGTGGCGGGCCTGGCACTTCTCACACCTGCCAACTCTGGCAGGTAGTTAAGCAAAGAGCCTGACTTTTAGGTGCAGGTTAGTCAACATAGTGTGAAAAAGAAAAAGCACACACCAGTTCCCATTGCCTGAAAATAGCATGTGTCAACGGCTCTCTTCCAAGACGTAGAAACCAACCTGTAGCAGCTGCTCTCTCTGAAGGCATTAAGTGGTGAAGACACCTGAGTGTGTCTGATTCCAGCCCAAACAAGCTCCTTCCGCTCATCGAGGTAGGAAGAGAGTTCATCTAAATGGAGATGAATAATTTCAATAGAGTGATTGTCTGTCATTTCCTGTAGAGATTCCCCACCCCCCATCTACTTTTGTAAAAAATTAAATGCAATAAAATACAGGCATATTAGGTGTTCGGTTACCTGGATTTTGACAATTTTTATGCCCATGCAACCACCAGCCGAAACTAGAAATCCCCTGTATGTCCCTTTCCTGTCATGACCCTGCTCTCTTGAGGTAAGCACATTCTGACCTCTCTTCTCATAGATGAGTCTTGCTTGTTCTTGTATTTTATATAAATGAAAGCATTAAGAGATGTTCTGTTGTGTCTGGCTGCATTGTGGTATAAACTTGCAGCAGAACACTCCACAACAATAAAAAGGAGTGAACACGACCCACAATAGCATGAATGAATCGCCTCTACAGTTGTGCATTAAAGATTACAGGATTCACTGGCTTCATGCTACCTTTGTCTTCTCAGTAACCAAATGACCCACACAGTTGTCTTCTACTTGTTTTGGAGTTGCTAGCTTTGTTTTTTCTCCCTCTAGTCTCTTATAACACAATATCACCTTTAGGAGATGGTCAGGTTATACTCCGGCTTCCCAGGTGGCGTTAGTGGTAAAGAACCCGCCAGCCAGTGCAGGAAATACGCAAGAGATGTGGGTTCAGTCCCTGGCTCAGGAAGATCCCCTGGAGGAGGGCTCACCAGCCCACTCCAGTATTCTTGCCTGGAGAATCCCATGGACAGAGGAGCCTGGTGGGCTCCAGTCCTTAGGGTTGCAAAGAGTCGGACACAACTGAGGCGACTTGTCACGCACACAACAGGTTACACTCACCTTATGGGCTATCACGATGATGGATTTTTAAAGGGAATTTGAAACTGTGGGGTGGGTTTTTTTGAAAAGGAAATATGTTAGACATGTCCCACATTATCTTTTTAGAACTTTGAAAAGTCAGAAGCGGTAGAGGAAGCGAGGAAGCAGCCCTGGCCTCTGCGGATGGCTGTCCGGTGGGCCGTGGATGTTCATTTCATGACTACTCCATGCTGTGTGCTGTGCACTTTTCATTGTCATGAGAGAGAATGTTAGGAAAACTATCCCCACAAGAAAACAGCTTTTCTTGGCAAGTGAAATATGACTTAAGGAGCCAGAACTGGAGACATACGGTACTATGAATGAGAGCTGTGTTGCTTTATTGGATCTGAGTCCAGGCACTATTTATACTGCAGCATATTCAGCACCAGATTGTTAAATCTTAATACTGAAACAGTGCATCATTTTAATATTTTTGTTCTGTTTATTCCCTGTTTTCAAGCATTATGTCAAGCATTGCGCATTCATTGATTTCATCTTGGACAGGACGTGCCCTGACCAGAAAGTTCATTTCCTATGATTGGAATTTTGCCCCAAAGCTATAAAGCAGCATCTTGTGATGCTTTTAAAGGTTTACTTGGGTATACAGGTGTTATCTCTCTTTGATGATAAAATATATTTTTTGGAAGAACAATGTAGTTGGAACTCACCTGTGTTGCCAAGAATAAAAATAAAAATGCTGTTCCTCATCTATCACTGAAGCATAGCTGTTTGGGATGTGTGACGGTTTTTGACATCGAGGGGACCTTTGGATTTTTTTGTAGCATACAAATAAAATGTTTGTTTCCCTGTGTTGTTTGTGAAATGGGTTTCTCTTTATATTTTGTTATCAGTGTTATGGGTGCCCTGTGCTCCAGATAAGGTCCAGCTTGTGAATAGCCTAGCATTTTCACCATGCCTTGCTGAAGCTGTCCTGTGAATCTCTCCAGGTCTGACCAGGATTTTTATTCTCTCCGTTGTCACGAGTGTTTACCATCTGTAGCATGGGGCAAGACTACCACTGTCACTGTAAAAAAAAGCTGAGGAACTATCAAAGGGGGAAGAAAAGGAAGTTGAAGGCATCTTTGCTGTTTCTGATCTGTGGTCAGTCATTGTGCTATGGAACACAAGCCCTCCACCTGGTGAAACGAATTTAGAAGTGAATTCTCATTGCTTCTTCAGCTCCAAATGCTATTCACACTGGGGTTCGCTCCACAACCAGGATGTGACTGTGTGTGTGCTGAGCCCACACACAGGAATTTTCTTGTACAATTCAAAACTGAATCTTATATTTACTTAAGACTTGCTTTTTTTTTTTTTTGTCTATGAAATCAGCAGTTCGGTATATTTAGCATCAGTCTTAAGTTAGACTGTGAAATAAGTCTTTGGGGGAAGGAAGTGTCCGTATGGTTTTCTAAGTAATTTAAGAAACAGGAAAACATAAAAAAAACTGATTGTCCGTGATTAAACCTCATCCTTTCATTCTCATCTTCCTGTATAGTTAACTCAGTTGTCAGCCAGAGAGAAATAGGCTATTGCACAGGGTTGTAAAATATCTGAGTGGGCCTTGAATGTTGGCTGTTGGATGACCTTCTTAACATTGAACAAACAATGGGAGGGTTTAATAAATAGCAGCTATGTGTTTATTATGTTTTCCTTCCCTGTGCAGGAATAATCAAGCTGGGGAGGTGGAACCCTCTCCCCCTCAGTTATGTGACAGATGCGCCTGACGCGACAGTGGCCGACATGCTGCAAGATGTCTATCACGTCGTGACGTTGAAAATCCAATTACAAAGGTGGGTGTCTCTGAACATCTGCCCTTCCTTACTCTCGGAGCTGCTCCGTCGATCATAGACTTACTGCGGAGATCAGCTCATCCTGTCTTTGTTAATTTCTTGACATTGGATGAGATGAAAAGAAAAAAAAAAAGGAAGAATAAGAGGAGGGGAAGAGGGCCCTTTACCAGGCATCTTTATAGTCCACATTCCAACTGTTTTATGTTTTGTTTTCAGAAGCAGTGAAGTGGTAACCTAGGGGGAGCTTGATAAATCATTAAAAATCTGCAGCCTGTAAAGGGGCACTTTCCAAAGCCCCTACTTTAATGAGTCCTCTGGTTAAATGCTCAGTACATAATACTTGAGAATCAACACCTCTGCAGTTTCAGGCTTGTGTTTGAGGAGTGAGTCGGGTGCCTGGGTAGCCTGCTTACCCAGAGGGTGCTGGCAGTGGACGTCTTTTGTTTTCCTCTCTGGTAGCCTGCAGAAGTTCTGGGAATGGTTCCTTTTTTTCAGATACAGCACTCAGGACAAAGTATACAGCTAAAGAATCTAGAAGTTCTCTGCAGTACCTTGTGTTGTAAAGTGCCTGCAAGTCATATCCCTTTTATTGTCCTTTCCTCTACAGGTTTTGAACTTACCCCCTTTCAGAGACTTTGCACTTTAATAGGGACCTACCTACCATTCCTGTCCTTGTCTAGGAATACTTTAATGTCTTTAGTTATTTTTTGGTTAGGTAAGTAACATCTCTAGATTGTTCTGTAAGGGTTAAGGGTGAAAGTGAAAGTAGGCCTTCAAATCTGATGAAGCTTATGTTACATTTGAAGTTTGTAATCACACTGCCATGCCATTTCTATCAGCAGGTTGGAAAAATCATATTTTTAAAAATTGGCATTTCTTTATCTCCAAAATGGCTGTTTCTCTCAGGCTAGTGTGATAGCCAACTGAAAGAGGCCATGATGGGCTCTGCCGAGGCCCTAGAGAAGCAGTTTGACTCCCCTTCCCTCATTTCGAGTCCAGGTTCGACCCTGTTCTTTGACGGATCGCCTTATGCTTTACAGGGCGGGGGTGACTGCTGTACTCTGCACCGTTAGGGTTTGCATGTCACTCATTCTTCCTCTGTTTTCCAGTTGTTCGAAGTTGGAAGACTTGCCTGCAGAACAGTGGAACCACGCCACGGTCCGCAATGCCTTAAAGGAATTGCTTAAAGAGATGAACCAGAGCACATTAGCCAAAGAATGCCCTCTCTCCCAGGTCAGTGTCCTCAGGACGGACGGAGCACCACGGCTGCGCTCTCCAGCAGGAGGGGCGCTCCCGCTCAGACGGTTGTCTCTGCATTCACGTTACGTCGTGGTGTTCAGCCGCCAGTCGTGGCCAGCTCTTTGTGATCCCACGGACTACAGCATGCCAGGCCTCCCTGTCCCTCACCATCTCCCAGAGTTTGCCCAAGTTCATGTTCACTGCATCGGTGATGCTGTCCAGCCATCTCATCCTCTGATGCCCTCTTCTCCTGCTCTCAGTCTCTCCCAGCATCAGGACCTTTTCTGATGAGTCTCTGGTGGCTCAGCTGGTAAAGAATCCACCTACAATGCAGGAGACTCCGGTTTGATTCCTGGGTCAGGAAGTTCCCCTGGAGAAGGGATAGGCTACCCACTCCAGTATTCTTGGGCTTCCCTGGCGGCTCAGACAGTAAAGAATCTGCCTGCAATGCAGGAGGCCTCGGTTTGATCCCTGGGTTGGGAAGATCCCTTAGAGGATGACACTACATCTTAGGTGGGCAAAAATATGGAGATGTGGTACTTTTTGTTGTAGAGGAGAACTTATCGCTTACTAGAGCTCTGAAGTAGTAGGAGTCACATTAAAACATTTTACACTCACTCTTTAACTTCTCATACATGTTATAGGAGGTGGGTATCAATGTTTCTATTTTATAGATCAAGAAAACAAGGCTCAGAGGCACTTTACCTGCCTAAGCTTACTCAGCTGGTTAATTGCAACTCCAGTTGAGACCTCCCTTGCCAAAGTTCAGGCTCCAAATTGCATTTCTTGGTCAATGAAATGGGTCAGCCATGTCAAATACATCTTAATTTGTTTATATTTTTTTTATTGAGCCTTTTCTGGGTCTAGCAGAGAGAGATGATCTTTGCGTCATATATGTTTTATAGAGATTTTGTAGTGAGTTCAGCATGTAAAAATGCACTATGAGAAAAAGTGGTACTCTTTCTTTAATGAACTGATCATAAGCTATAACAAGTCACAAAAGTAAGAGATCGAGAGGATGAAAACGAGGGATGCAGAGAAAGGGCTTCTGTTTCTGTTTGTGTTCATGGGTGAGGGCACCACTTTTTCTAATGATAAGATGTTTTAGTGGCTATAGGGAGTGGCTTAGAACAGCTGTGAAGTGAACTCAGGTTGACATTAGTTAAAGCTATGAATGGAAATCCATTTTCTGGTGTGAGTTGCTACACTCGATTTAAGATAGTAGGCTGACTGCATGTCTGTCAAGTTCAAGGGACGGTAACAAGAACAATGGAAACTTGATATGTCCTGAGCTGTCTTCTAGGATAACAGTCTTTGGGGGAAGTAGGAAGCCTAGTGGTTAAGAGTCTGCATTGAGAATCAGTCAGATCTGGGTTCATGTCTTGGCTTACAAGCCTCTGTGACCTCATCTGTTTCTTTGTGAGTAGAACCAGGAGAGTAATAGTTCTAAGTCATATAATGAGGAGTAATGGGATAAATCACATAAATCCTTGGCCTAGTACTGGCATACACTGATTCTCCATAAATAGTACCAGCTGTTATTATTGAGACATGATATTGTTGGTGTGAACTTAATATTTTTTATATGTGTCTTGGAGAGTGTTTTGGAATAGATCCTCTGAGACAAAGCCTGCTATTAATATCTTTGCTTCCCAAAAAATCAAGACAGCAGGCACCTGAGGTAGATGGAAATGGACACCAGTGTTTTTTGACCATCAGTCATGTCCCTGCTTCTGTGCTCACAGCTTTCAGAGGCCATTTTAATACCTCCCTGTTGGTATGCTTTGTTTAACTCTTTGTGACCTTTTGGAGTCACACCAGGCTCCTCTGTCTGTGGGATTTTTCAGGCAACAATACTGGAGTGGGTTGCCATTTCCTCCTTCAGGGGATGTACACAGGGTTAAAGCTTGTTGCTAGAATTTTTATTTATTCCAATGTGATTACTTACGAAGTTCTAAAATATACATATTTTGAATTATTTTGATCACATATAGGGACTGGATAAAGAACAATTTAGAAAAACAATTCAGTCATTTGTCCTAAACTTTACAGTTAGTTACAGTTAATTTTCTCTTGGATTTACTTGAAAGTCAAATTGGGCTTTGCCTAGAGGTAGACAAACTCATAACTTAATATCACCAATTTGGAATTTTATCCAGGGCTTTTGAGGCCTGCAGGAATTTGGTCAGTATTGATCTGCTGTGATTATTTGCTTTGGTTATAGCTATAAGATGTGACTAGAGAGACAGCCTATATGGAAGGAATGCATGTGAGGAGCTGAGAGCCCTGAGCTCTGCTCTTTCTCTATTTTTTTTCCTGGCTGAGCCACGTGGCTTGTGGGATTGAACCTGGGCCCCAGGCAGTGAAAGGACCATGTCCTAACCATTGGACTACCAGGGAATTCTTGAATCTCAGTTCTTTTGTGATTCTGGGCAAGCCTGTCCACTCTCAGGGCCTCATTAAACTCGTCTGTAAACTGGGCATGATTGTGTCCACATATGTCATGTAATTTTCAGGGTTGTCTTGAGCTTCGAATGAAAACATCTTGACCCTTGCTGTAAAAATTGTGTCCATATATGTCATGTAATTTGCAGGGTTGTCTTGAGCTTCGAATGAGAACATCTTGACCCTTGCTGTAAAAATGCTTTTGCTCCCCCATTTTCTCTTCTCATTGCTTGCCCAGCGAGTTGCCCAAGCTCAAAAATTTCTTTTCTGTCACTCTCATAGTAGATACTATGGGTTCCACCACCTCCATATTAAAATCTTTCTCCTTTGTGCCATTGCCTTGTTTAGACTTTCATCACCCCTCTTGTGATATATTTTAAGTCATCCTGCGTCATAAGCTTTCTTCTGGCACCTGCTTCTCCATCACTAGCATTGTATCATTTCCTTGTCTATAAGCCTGCAGCGGCTCCCCCTGCTCAGCCTGTAGGAGGAGCAGACTGAACAGCCTGGTGCACTGGGAAGATGACAGACACTGGCCTGATCTCTATCAGTCACCTTCCTCCTGCTACCTACATCAGTGCTCAGATGAATGCAGTGGAAACGTTTAACATTGCTCAGACGTCCCTAAAATATTCCCAAGGGTGGGAACAACCTGACTACCACCCTCTCCTCCTCTCCTCTGCTCCACGCACCTATGTTTTTGATATTTTTAAAATTTCCGTGGAAACCTCTCTACCTGTTCAGTTAGCAAGCTCCCGTGTCTGCATGAGACCAGTCCTCAAGGGAGATGAGCCGTGTCACCCCCGCGCACGACGCTGGCGGCCTGGGAGCCCTCGGCCGGCACTGCCTCACGTGTGCTGCGGGATGTCTCGCCGCTAGCACGCCCTACTCTCTGCTGCTTGATGAAATCTTTCAGATATCAGCTGGGAAGTCAGTTCTGGTGAAGAACCCTGACCTCCTGATTAGAGTAGTTGCTTCTGCTTTTGGTAACCTTTTGGACACACCCCTGTCAGAGCACTTATCACGGCCTGCTGTCAGTGTTATCTGCCAGTTCTCATCACTTAATGGACTGCCTCACAATAGCAGAAGCCATCTCTTACCTGTTATCTCGGCGTTCTCAGCATTCAGCTCAGAGTGTATCTTGCATGTAGTTGTTACTCTAATGCAGGAGTTTTAAACTTTGGCCCAAGTAAGCTTTGGGGTTGAATGCTCTTTGCGGTTGGGGAGTGACCTGTGATCCTGTGTGTTGCAGGGTGTTTAGCAGCATCCTTGACCTCTATGTACTAGATGCCAGTAATGTTCCCCACCCAGAGCCAGCCGGAATGTCTCGGCATTGCCAGATGTCTTTTGAAGGGGGGAAAATGAGAGCCACTGCTCTAATGTGTTTAATTAATTTAATATTAAAATGTTTTAGAAAGCTTTATAAAATATAAAGTTTTATTATTTTTACAGTGCTCTTGGCAGCTCTAAAATGTTTTGAATGAGAAACAATGAATATAGTACTTTGGTGGTTGATGCCCACAGAACATTTTCAATCAAACGGGGGCTCTTTTCTATTGCTTAGGTGTGGGGGATATTTGATTTAGGCTTCTGGTACATTGTGTGATTTTGGAAAACATCACTGGAGTAGTCCTTCTCGGCCAGCAAGGGCACCATAGTATGCGTGTCTGCATTAATCCTATGGCTGTTAGTCTGAAACATTCCGGATTATTCACTTAAATTGCATAGCTGGATTGAATTTCACTGTGGAGAAAAGCTCCCTCATTTTGTTGGTGGTTACCATAGAATATGGAGAAGGCAATGGCACCCCACTCCAGTACTCTTGCCTGGAAAATCCCGTGGACGGAGGAGCCTGGTGGGCTGCAGTCCATGGGGTCACTAAGAGTGGGACACGACTGAGCGACTTCACTTTCACTTTTCACTTTCATGCATCGGAGAAGGACATGGCAACCCACTCCAGTGTTCTTGCCTGGAGAATCCCAGGGACAGCGGAGCCTGGTGGGCTGCCGTCTATGGGGTCACACAGAGTCGGACACGACTGAAGTGACTTAGCAGCAGTAACCATAGAATAGGCGAATATATTTTTATTCAACCTGTGTAGTGTGAAAAAGAATGAATTTTTGTTTATAGAAGGTAAAACAGAAATTTTAAAATGTATTTTACCAGCTTGAATGGAGTCCCAGTTAAGTGTCAGGTACTTTACAAAGGATTGGGGGTATAGTGGTGAAGATGAGAGAGGTGAAGCTTTCGGCCTAGGAAGAAGAGCATAGAGCACCCAATAGTGCTTCACAGAAGAACAGTAGATGATTGGGTTATTTAAAATATTCTCAGTTCACGAGTACAGGCCTGGTTTTGAAATAATTCTCCCTCATTACCCCAAGTCAGTCCATTTTTGGTATTTCCTCAGTGAAGTTTGGCAGTTGCATAAAAGAATAATTCAGTGGCTAGTATATATTTTCTTGATACCCCAGTGGTCTACATTTCAAAAGAGCAGCCTTGAGGGCAGAAGGAAAGAGTGGAAAAGTCCATGAAAGGGCAACAATTGCAGG